GGGGGGGGGGCCGAGAGCCCGAAAACGGCGAAACACCTCTGGACCCATTTCCCCCTATGGCGACGCACCCCGGCGGGAGGTCCAGGGAGGAGCAGGGTGTCAGTACCGTGTCCGCTTCCCCTTGGGAGCGGGAGGGCGAGGGAGGCACGGGCGAGTGGCAAGGGGGAGGGGGGGGGGGGCGCTGCAGGGCCGGAGCAAGAGCAGAGGAGGGGGAGGCGGGGGAGGGAGGGGGAGGAGGGGGAGGGCCTCTCGTCTCCTGGCCGCACCCTGCTCCCTGCTCCCTCCTTCCTTGCTCCATTTCCCTGCTCCCCCCTCCCCCATCGAGCATCAGGGGTGGGCGAGCGGGGAGGGGGAGGATGGTGATGATGGCCTCATTCTGCGGCAGGCGGCAGCAGGTCAGGGTCTGCGAGGAAGTGGGCGGTGATAGCGAGGAGGGGGAGAGGCAACGAAAGAAGGAGGACGATGAGGAGGATGTGAAGATGATGATGGGTGGAGGGCGGGAGGAGGAGGAGGAGGAGGAAGAGGAGGAAGAGAAGGCACTTCGCTCTGTCGCAGGCGCAGCGGGCTGGATTGTGTAGCCGTCCGCAACCGTCCCGGGGTGTCCCTACACTGCCCCTGTTCTGCCCCCCTGTACTGTCCCTCTCCCAGATTGCACTTATACTGTCTCCCTACACTGTCTCCCTAGACTGTCCCTCTACCGCACCTTCGGACCCCCCTCCACTCTGTGTTGCCCCTCTCCTCCATCCCCCCTGAGAGAGGGCTGGACTCGTAGCAGTCCTTTTGCTTTCCTATGAAGAAGAAGAAGAAGAAGAAGAAGAAGAAGAATAAGAAGAAGAAGAGAAAACACATAAAAGCGTGCTGGCGCCCTCCTTCATCGTCTGCCTTCGTGGCCCTCGGGGCCGCGCCTCTGGCCGCGGAGGTGCTCACCCTGGACTCCTGGATGTCGATCGCGCGCCCCATGCAGGACATCGTGAGCCTCAGCTGGGTCCGCGCCCCCTCCGCCGCGGGCTGCCCCTCGGGAGCGAGCCCCGCGCCTGGTCGGCAGAACGACGGCTGGCGCCCCAGGGCGGCCCAGGGAGGCCCCCAGAACGCGGGGGGGCCGCCCTCGGCAGCGAGGGGCTGGAGGGGGGGGGGGAGAACGTGGAGGGGCGGACGTTGATGCCTCCACCACGCACTGCCCTCTGGAGCGTGGGCTGGGGGAGGAGAGCGTGGATGGGGCGCGTGAGGAAGAGGACGGGCGGAGGACGGGGAGGCGGAGAGGGAGGCGAGCAGCAGAAGGAGGGAATGGGGCGGAGTGGAAGCGGATCGAAGGAATAGGCGAGGAAGGTTGAGGAAGATGAGGATGAGGTGCAGGGGTGATGAGATCGGGGAGGGGATTAGGGACGAGGACGGGCAGGAGGAGGATCAGGAGGGGATGGCTGCAGGGGATGGGACGGAGGAAAAGGAGGAGGAGGAGGGATGACGAGAAGGAGCTGGAGCGGGACGAGTTGCGGGAGCATTCTCGCGGGGCACCACGGACAAGTCGGCGCATCTCGTAGCAGTTCGACGCGTGCCTCGCGGTGGCTCCGCGACAACGGCGTCCACGGCGTCGAGCCATCCGGTCTTGCGGAGGTCGGCGGGCGTGAAGATCCAAGATCTGCCAGCGTCAGAAACGGAACACCAGCAGACTGAAAGCGAGCACCGACACGGGACATGATGAGCCATTCCGGAACACTGGGGCTGACGAGGTTAACCATCGTGTGAACCCTTTTCGAATTAATCTTCCAACATGGTGAAGCGAAGACGAGCAGGAGAGATCACGCGATCATGGTGCAAGCGAGGGGTCGGCCCGGTTCTCTTTGACGCAGCAGTTGTCAAGCCCCTGGAAGGGTCCCCGACTACGGGCACCTCTGCACAAGTAATTCTGGACGCCCCTATTTCTCCACTGATCCCCCGTTCGTCTTCTCATCCGCAAGGCGGAGCCTTCGTGTCGAGCTTGATTCGTTCAGGTGCCCAGAAGGTTTCCCCATGAAGGCCCCTAGCTGGTGTGTTGCCCTCGACCACATTCACCGTGGATGCTTAGGAACTTGTTGGAAGCAAGCGTGTTGATTCTGATATGTTGATCCAGGATCTGCCGGAGGCATGTCTGAGAGCTGCGGAAGCGGAGTGGCTACTTGTTTTCCAAATTTCTGGTGAGCATCGTTCTCATTACGGTGGTCGTGACAATCCTCTGCAGGCTGTCACGAGGAAGCCCAGAACCCCCACCCCTGACGTGTTCCCCAAGTTGTCTGTACGTGTGTATTTGCCTGTTGGTGGTGAGAGCTGCAGAATGCTTTGACCGGCTTAGGCTGCGATCCTGTAGGCGCCCATCGGCGCCAGTCTGTTGCCGCCGCTGACGGTCTTTCTCGTGTTCATCGTTTGCCTGACGCCTCCGAGGTCGCCGCGTGCACGGCGACCCTGCGGCAGGCAGACTTGCTGTTGACGCTTTGGGCTTCGGGTTTGGCCACGCTCGTTGGCGACGGGGCCAAGCGGCATGACCAGTTGCCCCCACAGGCCAAGGGCAACGATTGGAATCAGTAGGTTGACAAACATTCGTATGGGGTCATACCGACATATCTCAAATTTTCGAACGTATCCTGCCCGCGTCATCCCGGAAGTGATGCCTGTGAGGTTGGGGTGGGATATTTGTGTGTGTGTGTGTGTGTGTGTCGCCCCCCCCTTCGTGGACCGCCTCTGAGACCCCTTGGGGGAACTCGTCAAAGCTTTTTAAGCCGTTACAAGGGGGACGCCAGGGCGTAACCGTCTGCAAAGAAGAAAGAAGTTGGCAGTAGGATAGGGTTCGGTCAGATTTCGCCCCGTTGCTTTCCCAAGCTGCCGCCTCCTGCGCGGGAGGCCAGCTGTGACATTGCGCATCACGCCGAGCACGAGGAGGAGCGGCCTGCCGTGCGAGTCGGATCGTGCTTCGTCTCCAGCGTGCTGGAGGCGTGAGGCCCCTGGGGCGCCTGCCCGTGCCGGCTCGGGCTCGGCGACGTTTGAGGCGGCCTCCGGTGCGCCAGCGGCAGGCTGGAGACGTTCGAAGTCTGTATGGCCCGCCCAGGGGAAGTCCTCTCAGCAGTGCGCCTGGATCCAGGCTGCCTGGTCTGAGCACGCGGCGAAGTGGTGCCACGTGCTTCCTCGACTTCAAGAAGGCCTTCGGGCCTGTGCTGCATCGCAGCCTCTCTGCGGCTGCTCAGGCCTCTCGTTTCCCGTTGTTGCTGTTATGCCCCTCGGTGCAGATTTGCCGAGCCCCGCGGCTCATCGACGTTGCTGATTAGGTCGGGCCGCCCCTTGAGGTTGAGCAAGCGGTTGTGCCATATTGTATGTTTGCTACGCGTGCGTTGCCACGTTTGTTGTTAGGCCCCTTGAACGCGCAGGTGGCCTGCCCTACAGCGCAGCTTTCAGCTAATGTTGACGATGTCGGCCTTCAGTGCAGGGACGCGGAGCTAAGGGTCGTCAGCGACATCGCCGCCGCTGGCAAGCTCCTCGGCCAACACATCCGTGTTATTGATCTGCAGTTCGCTGCAGACAGGCCGCGCATACTGGGCAACTCACCCGCTGTGCGAGCCACCATCTTTGCAAGGCTACCAAGCAGTTCAGCCTCTGCCAGCTCGTTATGAACGTAATCCGGGGGGAGGTGCTTCTGGGCTTGTGGATGGCAAGGTTACCTCTCGGTTGCGCATCAGCGCGATGCGATGGCGTCGCGCGGGGATGTCCGTCCTCGAAGGTTCGAAACCTTGTCGCCGCGTGCCCTGGCGCATGGCTCGTGCTGCTTTGGGAGCCTCGGTCCTGCACGGGACCACGGCCACGGGAACGAGCGGCAGGGATACGGAGGTTCTAAAAGGTGCGGCTGGCAAGCTTCATGACCATCACCTTGCTGGTCAATCTGGGAGCCACTGGCTGATGTTTTCCCGTGTGCCCCAGCTGGAGCCCACCATCTAGGACTCATCGGTTGGTGTTCTCCCCGGAGCCCCAGCCGGAGCCCAATATTTCGGCAGCTACGTTGCCCGCGAAGTCCTTCCTGCACGCTCCGCGGCGCACTGGGATGCCCCCTGGCGCTCTCGCTTCTGGTCTCCGTGAGGCCCACGGCCACCTCCCCTGGCTTGGGCACCCGTGGTCCTCCAGTATGGGCCCCTACAGTGCTATGTGGGCGTCGTCGTCATCCTCGTCGTCGTCGTCGTCGTTGTCTTCGTCGTCGTCGTCGTCCGTCGTCCGTCGTCCGTCGTCCACCGTCGTCGTCGTCCTCGTCCTCGTCCGCCGTCGTCGTCGTCGTCGCTACTCGCAGGCGTGTTGGTATTACGGCGTCCCCTGCCTCGTCCTGGACTTGTCTCGACGGGGCCGGCTGCCGCTCGCGTGCGACGCAGGCCTTGGTGCGTCGCGCTGCTGAAGCTTGGCAGCGTGCGGGTGTGGCTGACCCCCTCGAGCAGGCTGAGCTCGCTGCCGGTGCACTGTCTGGGCCCCCCGGAGGGGTCGTCTTGGCATCGGCAGCAAGCCCACGGGTGAGCAGGAGGCCGTCTTGGATCTGCGGTCGCGGGGGGCCCATGGCCCCAGAAGCGTCGGTGGGCTGCGGGGCACCCCGCGTCCCCGACCTGTCTCCTGTGCCATGGGCATGGAGGCGCGCGTCTGCGCCGGCATTACCTATTGCTCCAGGCTCGGGGAGCTGGACGCCTCGCCAGCTGCTCGTGCCAGCGCCGAGGAGGCTGCTACGGGTTCTCCGCTCGCGCTGCCTTTTGCGGAACGCTGCAGCGTGCCGTTTCCCAAGCGTGCGAGGCCGCCCTTCGGTCCGCTCGGTGAGTGGCGAGGGGGGGAGCAAAAACATTGAACTTGCAATCGCCTCGTGTCAAAGCAAGAACACAAGATCTCCGAGATCACGATTCACAACAGTTTGAAATCGAGGCCCCACTGAGTTCACAGGCGGCACATGTCTCGGCGGCTCGGCTTCTGAGGCTCAGTAGCCCGCCTTGGCTAGTGTTGGCTGGGGGCGC